GAAGACACAGAAACGCGAGCGAAGATATCAAATATAAATTCGAATCAATGTTGGCTGAAAATTCCAAGGTAGTTTTTGCTCAGGCAGAAATTATCAAGAAAATGCAATGGACGAATATTGGCGAGTAATGCTGATTGCAAATTTCTCAAAAACTGAAGTTAATATATAAACTTTTGATCAAGATGAGCCTTTTTTTTTTGCCCTGAAAAAAGAATCGAAATTATTATTGGGCTTGGAAACTGAGAAGGAATTTTGTCTTTCAATTTCTAATCTTTTATATTTCAGACTTATTTATAGCAATGTCTTTTTTTTTCTGAACGCTTTGTTGCTTCCAATTTTTATCAACACAACCCGACCTATTGATAACGACTTATTATTTTATTATTTTATCTCTCCATTTAGAAATGCTGCATGCCTAATCCTATTTTGTAACGTTAGCGTTCTATAAACTGAATAAATAAATAAACACACCCAGCCTTAACCTCGACACCGATTGTTTACAACTATGGTTGTTGTCTGAGTCAAAAAAACTAGTCCTTCGTTGAAGTCAACACTGTGCCAGCTAATAGCGAACTGGCGATCGACACAACCGTCACACCAGTGTTTTTTTTAATACTTTCTGAGCATTTCAGACCAGTCACACCACATTTCAAAGTCAAAATTCGACAGTTGTCCGTGGGGACATGTCTCCACTGCTGTACACTTCACAGCACAATCGATGTCACACACGTAGGTAACCAGTTCATGTCTAGTAGTGATATATAGCTGTGCTATCACTGATTCCTTCTAGAATGTTCCCTTACTTGTAACTCTTCACTTCGCCTCGAAAATCCGAAAAAAGTTCTCCATATTTAACTTAACTCATCTTTTTGTCAGTTCTTTCGGCAAGTGCGAATAATCGCTAATTGAGTATCACTCTGCACCTCCATAGTATGACAACTTTTATGGATTTCTCTCTATATAAAACAGTTCATTCTAGATAAGAATGCACTTGACTATACGCCTACACTCCTCAGCGAAGCAGGAAGCTCTAGCAACCTTTTACTGAATAAATCCATGGTTTTTACAAAATTATTCATCCAGTTGAGGTGCTTTTATGCGAATAATCGTAGCAAAACGTCTTTAGCAACTGATCAGCAACGTGAATTTTGCAAATAAAATCCGTTACTTTGGAGGGAAAGCTGCATGATGCAATTCGTTGATCTAGGCAAGCATTTTTTTTCACCGCGATGTGATTTTTTCAAATTGAATGGGTGCCAGATGAGAAGATCATTGCTACAATTCTAGAAATTGCAGTTATCATTGGCATCTACTACCTATATGCCGCCAGTAGATGTCACCATTTTATGCTTACAAACAAACTTAGCGATCTACAGGCAACATGGCAACATTATGTTTGACTCTTTTGAGCTCATGGTGCGACTAATGTTGTATAGAAAAAATCTAATTCGTCTTAACTTTCACATGAGCAGTAGTAAGAAGTATGGTGAAAAACTTTCTCCGGAAAAAAGCTGTAGAAATTTTTCCACATAAATGGAAGTAGTAACTGGCCAATCACAACGAAAAAATTTTTTAACAAAAAAAATAGGTCTAAACCACTAATTTGAACTAGGAAATTCAAAAGAGTGTTTCAATTATTTGCAAGTAAAAGTAAGGCACTCGCACAAATTACCCATGTGGATCATAGAGAACAGTTTTAAATCGGCCATTTTTGAGCAGTGCATATCAGAATTTCTGGATGATTCACATTCTGCTTTATTTTACAGCAATAATCTTTTCCCACCAAGCTTTTTCACTGAAGAATCAAATAAAACGCAATGGAGGGCTTACACTCTGTGACTAATCTGCTTTTGGTTCAACAGAAATTTTTTAAGGGACGATGATTTCAGAAAAAACTTTTAAAACATGGCTACGTTCCATTTGTTCCGGTCTATCTCTTTCTGATTTTTTTCTTGGGGTCCTCCATCAAGACTTCTACAATTACAACATGATTGTAGCCACTTTCCTCCTCTTGTTTTCCTTTCGCATATGTGAATTTTGAAGAATTGATATTTGTTAAAATGAAGCAGGCATTTTCTTGAAAATGCTGTTATATAGGACCTACATTCTCTGCCCTCTGTTAGACACTACGATTGCCTTTTTAGGAGACAATACGATGCACATTGTTCAAACACTGATGGAACGAATTCGCAGAAGAAAAAGCGGGAATCGATGTAATCCTTCGAATTCGATTGCCGATGTCGGGAACGGCCGAAACGAACAAGTCAAATGTGTTTCCACGTCATTGTCGTCGTGGCGTTGAATCCATCGTATTCTGGATTGTAATGCTTCAGCATCAGATTACGATGGCTATCCTTCTTTGGCCCTTTATGTTTGCCCAATTAGCGATTTCGGCATCTCCCTAACGATTTTGGAATGGCAACTATATCAAAGAAGGAGGCCCATTGTGAAAGGTAAGTGAAGTTCTCTTTTTAGGAAAACTTCTAGGCATACAATACCCTTGATTCGCCAAAAAAAACTACACCGGAATTTATCGAAATGAGCACCATTACATCGCGATTTAAATTCAAAGTGGAAACTCAATCCGAAAACACCGTTTGACTCAGCTCGGCGAGGCGCATTTTCTGATATATAGAAGTAATTTGGAAACGGAAATTTCAGATTTCAAAAATCCTTTTGGATTTTTGCCTACTGTAGATTACTCGGAGGCTTATTCATTGCACACTAGTAACTTATGGTAGGTAAAGTCGATAAAATCTTAGCGCCCAACGTATTCAAAGGGAATATCTTATGTCAGACAATGTGCTCGCCCAGCTGAGTACGGGGACTTGGATTTATAATTCGTCCACTCTGCAAAAAATATGGCAAGCGACGCTGTTTGGTGAACTCCATAAGAGTTGGGCGACTTTTTTGACGAATTATGAGCGATACTTTCTGTAGTTAGCAAAAAGCTGGTCCTAGCGATACTATCATGGGTAGGCTGAAAAACCATTGAAGTAGATATGAAAACTAACAAATTGCCGTTTCCAAACCGCGCGTGCATGTCGCGCGCGCGGTCCTACCATCGTCACGATTTTTCTAATGCCCTATAAGTACAGCTGGGAAGTGAATAGACAACAAAGTTATACTTCTATCAGCAAGTCGTCACAACTTCGGCAGCGTCTATAAATCCCGTGCCAGCGCTATTCCACTGGGGTGTTAGCGCTGTGCCGAGGCTGTGCCGGTTAAAATCGCTCGATCAATAAGCATGCGTCCACGTGGGAGTTTCGTACGACACTGCTATGGCGCCGGCACGGTACCGGTACACCGGTAACACTAAACGCAGGCCTCAGAACAAGCTCAGTTAGTTAGAAAATGAAAAGACATTCTCGAAAGCGAGTTTATGGAGATTCTTGCACAATCACCTGTCAAGCATTTTGCTTCAAATAATTGTTTAAAAATTTTTTTTATGAAAGACAGTAATAATTTGCACCACACAAACATCTGCCATGGCTAGCTCCTCATTTTTGAGTCAGGACTTGACTAAATTATTTTTTCTCCAGAATTAGACTGTTTCAGAATGTGTCAATGTTAGCTCTTGCCGAGCAATGCATAAAGCAAATTTTTTGTAAGCTTTCTGCTTCTTGATAATTGCTTATTTTATGCAGTGTTTTTCATTCAAGTTTACATTTTTTCCGGTAGCTTTTCCTAAAGTGCATTTTTGAACAGCCACGCCAGAGTCGACAACTTCCTTTCACTAATCTTTTTCCGAGTTGTTCCTGCAGACAGAGCAGCATTCATGGTTTTCGGCTACAATTTGCTCAACGGCTATAATTTGTCAAATGTGGAATTTTTCTAGAATCTGCACTCGTTACACCAGTTCATCTCAGTTCTATCGCACAATGAGGCACAGGTTTTTCTCCGCAATGTATTCATTGAAAACTCAAATGATCTCGGACAAAAAAAATAAGTCAAGACTGCGATGGCTCCCTGCGACTCTTGACAGTGCAAAACAACAAAAAACGCCTAGAATGTAAGATGATAAGACATACGAATATCGGAAAACCAAGATAGACGTATTTCTTCTCGCCAAATTCACAACACTTTCATAAAATACTTTCTTTTTTTATCCGCTTCAATAAATTTCTTTAGAGTCCCTCCAATGTATCCATTCTAATTCTATTTTCCGGTCAAGAGGACTCATGATCAATGTGATACATTATATCTCCATTCGAAACTTTCGTTTGTGTGTAAAGGGCCGGGCATACCTCACGCGATTTCAGTCGCGACGCGATTTTGGCAATATTCCACCTGTCCACTCACTGTAAACAAATCCTAAATGTACAGAAGATAGCGCATTTTATCAATCCACGTAAGTTATACACACTATGCATGTGCAGCTTGCTTGTGTTGTATGTGAAACTTCTGGCGAATTGCCAAATCGCGTCGCGACTGAAATCGCGCGAAGTATGCCCGGCCCTTTACGAAGAGGATTTCAAAAAAGGGAAGAATATGCGATGCTGGGAAAGCAGTCAAGTTAGATAAAAGTGCCAAAAAATTTCCGTTGTTCATAAAGCTCAAGTGGGATTAAAGTGTTTTCACGGTCAACTTACGGAAAACTGATCAACTAGTAACTGAGAAGCCCTCATAGCTCGCAAAGATTTCATGCTCTAATTCTAATTGGCACGATTCCATGTTATTATCGTTGCGGGGTTGCTGCCTATAACATCGCACGGGCGGCGGGGAGTACGGTGGCCCTTGCGAGTCAAAATCCGTTTAGTGGCTGAAGCTTGCTAGTTTCTTTATTTCTTGGAGAATTCTAGGTTTGTGTGGCAAATCGGAGTTGTTAGGATTTCTAATTTGAGTTTTGAGACAGCTGGCTCTTCATTTTCTGTCATTTTGCTGTCTCAGACTCTTTTTGGAGGGTGCTGTGAGCGGATTATTTGGTTCTGTGCAAGTGCAAGATCATTTTTTGAGTAGCTCTGTTCCATCGCTTTTTGGGGCATTTTCGCATTTTTTATCATAACATTCAGGGGTACAAACGATGGCTTCGCGATCTTTAGCACAAGTGGGTCGCGTCGCTACGACCCGCTTGCTAAGATCTAACCTACAACGGATTGTTTTGCCAGCTACCGCTAGTGGTAAGTTTGCTTCTACCATCATAGCTTTTTGCAGCATTTTTCAACTATTTGAAACTCTTTTTTCAACCGAAGTTTATAGTTTTTGGTGTCGAAATTCTCTTTTGTTATATTTTTCCGCTTATTCTGTCAACACCTTAGCCCCTTTCTTTAGTACGTCAAAATTCCACTACTGTTGACAAGAAGGGCGTCCACACTTCTGTCGTCTCTCAAGCACAACCGCAAGCCTCAACCAGAGGTGACAAGGAAGTGAGTGCATTTTGTAGTTTTTTTTGTAAATGTTCGGGTCGTAAAATTTCCCATTTGAGGCACCAAAATCGGCAAGCTCTGGATCAAAAGGAAAAATTGTGGCAGTTATCGGTGCCGTCGTTGATGTACAATTCGATGAGAATCTACCACCTATCCTTAATGGTCTTGAAGTCACAGGACGCAAACCTCGCCTCATTCTTGAAGTCTCGCAACATCTCGGTATGTTCTTGTGAGATTTTCAATCTTTGGGTCCACTTTTGTCCATTTGATTTTGTCCATTTTTGTACTTTTGCTACTGCTTTGGATATTTTTTTTCAAATATTTTGTTTGAGGAGACAATGTCGTCCGATGCATTGCTATGGACGGAACTGAAGGTCTCGTTCGTGGACAAGAAGTCGTTGACACCGGAGATCCAATCAAGATCCCTGTCGGACCTGAAACCCTTGGTCGTATCATGAACGTCATTGGAGAGCCCATCGATGAGCGAGGTCCCATCCCAGCCAAACACAAGGCCCCTATTCACGCTGAAGCCCCAGAATTCGTCGAAATGTCTGTCGAGCAAGAGATTCTTGTGACTGGAATCAAGGTCGTAGATCTGCTCGCTCCCTACGCCAAGGGAGGAAAGATTGGTCTTTTCGGTGGTGCCGGAGTCGGAAAAACTGTACTTATCATGGAGCTCATCAACAACGTCGCAAAGGCTCACGGAGGTTACTCCGTGTTCGCTGGTGTTGGAGAACGAACTCGTGAGGGTAACGATCTGTACCACGAGATGATTGAAGGAGGTGTCATCGATCTCAAGGTGGGCACTGTCATGCTATCTCCTTTTTCTCCCTATCTATGGATGCCATTTTTCAAGTTAGAGCAACTTCTAAACTACTTTTAGGGGTTTGAGTGATTTCTTGAAAAAATCTTGCAAATCTTTTTATATGTCAAAAATGACAAAGAAACAACATTCACTTGTCATTTTTTGGATTTCGGTGCTGTTCGACCTTGCGATTTCATGATCGCCAATTTGCGGATATTCGTTTTTGTTTGAGGCGGGTTATTCGTCATGCTGGTCACGAATATCACGCTCAACACGCTTGATAGGTCTTCCACTTGTACGACAGTGTTGGATCATATACAGACTTGACAGTTTTAGCTCAACGAGATTTATCCGAGTGTTAAACGCAAGAATGATAAACCTCCAAAGTAAACCTCTCGTAACTTCGCAAAAGCTCCTTTTCTTGCGACCTAAGTAACATTTTTGTGATCACCATGACGGATAACTTCCCAGGCGAAGTCTTGTCGAGATCAGTAGTTTTGTATCCTCTTCAGCCGCATTACCGCTGTGTTTTGCATGTCAGAGCCATTGGGATCATACACATTATTGGAAAAGTATGTATCACTTCGGTCAAAGGAAGTAGAATCAGTAAAAATTCTATCCATTGCGATATTTTAGCTACTCAACTTAGTATTGAAGGAAGCTCCGTTTTCTGTTTTCCCCCATAATATCCCTTTCCTTTCTCTTTGAAGTCTAAAATGAATGGCTGTAATGTTGAAGATGCTAATCGAAGCGACCTTGAATATTTCAGGGCAACAACTCGAAAGTGTCGCTGGTGTACGGACAGATGAACGAGCCCCCAGGAGCTCGAGCTCGTGTGTGCCTCACTGGTCTAACTGTTGCCGAATACTTCCGTGACAAAGAAGGACAGGATGTGCTACTTTTCATTGACAACATTTTCCGTTTTACCCAAGCTGGTTCGGAAGTGTCTGCTTTGCTAGGACGTATTCCATCTGCTGTAGGATACCAGCCTACCTTGGCCACTGATATGGGTACCATGCAGGAGCGTATTACCACCACCACCAAAGGATCCATTACATCAGTACAAGCTATCTATGTACCTGCTGATGACTTGACCGATCCTGCTCCCGCCACCACCTTCGCTCACTTGGACGCCACCACTGTATTGTCTCGAGGTATCGCTGAATTGGCCATCTACCCCGCTGTCGATCCCCTTGACTCTACCTCGCGTATCATGGACCCTAACATCGTCGGACAGAGGCATTACGACATTGCTCGTGGAGTACAGAAGATTCTGCAAGACTACAAATCTCTCCAAGATATTATTGCTATCTTGGGTATGGATGAATTGTCTGAAGATGATAAACTCACTGTATCTCGCGCTCGTAAGATCCAACGTTTCTTGTCCCAACCATTCCAAGTCGCTGAAGTGTTCACTGGTCATGCCGGAAAATTCGTATCATTGGAGGAGACGATCCGAGGATTTGAAATGATCTTGAAGGGTTAGTTTTATATTACAGTATTTGCCTAGATACATGGCTTTTGCTTCACATTTCTTCGTCAAGCGCAGCGATTATATTGGTAAATTTGTCAAGAATGAGCTGAACTTCTCAGGTTTTCTTAAATGTTTTTTTTTTCAAATCTTTGAAGATTACTGGAAATTGATAGAGCAGTTATTGTTAGCTCACTTTTTTGAACGTTTTCCTAGTCTCTGGACTGTAACAAAAGGTTCCTTCAAATGTAAGAGAAGTGGCAAGAAACTGGATTTTTTCTCAGTTGTTGTCAAATGAGCAAATGAACCCGGAATTTATCGTTTCATTTTTTAGGTGAGCTCGATCATTTACCAGAGGTAGCATTCTACATGCAAGGAGGAATTGACGATGTATTCGCAAAGGCAGAAGAACTAGCTAAGCAGCATAGTTAGATTGATTTAGTACTGTTGCTACTTGATAGAGATAAATTTAACATATAACTTCTTCGTTTGCTCCTACTGTGTAATTCAGTGAACGCCTATCTGATTGTTGTAATATTAATTGTTTTGTGCAAGACGCTTTGCGTCTGGAAGCATCTCGCAGTCCGCGTGTATGTGAAGATTTGTTTTAGCTAGTTAGGTTGAACGAAAATGAAAATTACGCTGAAACTGTTCTGAGTACAACAAAGTTGAGATGACAAGTCCGGTGAAGAAATCGAAAAAGAAAGATGATGTTGATGCCAGGTGCTGCACTTTGATCCCAGAAGGTGTAGGTGAGGACGCCCACGACAAAATCAAGGTGTGTTGCACGGAGTCAAAAATTCATTAGTTCTTCATAATTCAGGCAGTACGTTGCTATTTATAGCATGGGTAAAAACTAGGTAACGGCTCTCAAGATTCCTTTAGTTGTTTAGGACGGCGTGGGATTTAGGGTGCCTTGAAAATATCCAAAGCAGCATGTGCCATCAAAAGGAAGGGGTAAAATGAAGGTTAAGAGCGAGAAGCTTACCATCACTGCAGCTAGATACCTACAGCTAATGTAACCCTAGGTTCTTGATTAATGATTACCGGGCATAAACGAGATAAGGCTTACTTTGCAGTGTGCTTGGATGACATTGTCAAACGGCGTCTTTTCTTACGCGTTTTAGTATAAAAACTACGAAATTTATGACGAATATACAGTTCCTGGTTTGATAGAGGTTATTCATTACAGAAATGTCATAGATAAGGTTGTAGGTTAGGAAAACGATTGTGCAGATGAGGAATTTGCGAGGAGTGCAAGGTCCTCACGAGAGCAGCTTTGCATGCCTGTCAGCAGCCTCTTTGTCATTTTTAAAGACATAGGCAAAGCTTTAATTTAGGACTTTCTCGCGTAGGGCTTATTTGTCTCGTTGACCACATAGAAATAGCGTAATCTTGCTCCACTCGATAATACCGCCAAAGGCAACTTCTCATTCCTATAATCAGCCAAAGAGAATGTTGCAGAAATTTCTTCTTGGAGAACCTATGTCGAACGATCTCCGACAAGAAGCAATGATATTATTTGCAAAGGCTGTGGCGGCAGATTCCCAATACCAGTGCAAGGTAATTCGTGAGAAATTTGGAAATCTCATATCGTCTAAGGGACAGCTTTTTTGGTTGCAGTATAGTTCCTTCCTAATTTAGTTCACTACACGTTCTTTTCAGCTCAAGCAAGTTTTTACTAACGGTGATACATCCACGGAAAGCAACAACTTGTGTCAGAAGGAGGGATCTTCTTCTAAAGTTTGTTTCTGTAGCGCGATGAATATTTTCGGTGCAAATCATTCTCTATAGGCCTCTATGGATCATAATATGGGTTCTGACGATCGCGACGTGACCTCGAAAGAGAGCGCGTCAACTGAGGTGCGTTCGAATATTGTTATAACGTATCATCAGTGTTAGAAGAATGTGTTTTACTAATGTAGCATTAGTGCAAGAAAAAAATGAGGAAAATTTGAACTGAGGATGGAAGCTGAGGGAAAATATGAGCGCTTACTAACTTTGAAGTGAACAGCTTGTTTTATATCTCTAGCATGTAGTCACAAGTAGTTCGAAGTGTTTATCCAAAATGATGCTTCTGAGGGCCACTTGAGACACTTGGACTGTTTGCACACAAGCAAAATGTGCAACACTGTTACTGGTTCGCACTTGTAGGCCCAAAGTTTTTAAAGCTCGATAATCTTTTTTGTGAGGCGCCGTTTTGTTGCTAGCATAACAAAAACTTATACCCATTTACCGTACATCGAATAATGACGACATGTAATCTTCTTTGTTTGATGTACACCACCAGTTTTCTGGAAGGTAAAGCAAGTCTCGCGGTAACTTTACTTGATATTTAACTCCGGTTTTGTCCCTTTTTCTGATGTCGGCGCTATTAAGTGTTGCCAATGGTCAGCTTTCAGCGAGCCTTGTAGAAATGGATCTATGTTATGTAGTTTTCATTTAGAACGATTCACAACTGGAGTCGGCAGAAGATCGTCAACGAATCAATGTTGGATGGTTTGTTGGACCTGCTGATGTGCCTGAGGAATATGACCAGTAAGAACCAGATTCTGTTTTTACATTCGATATTGATTCCATGAAAGAAATGTTATCATTCGTTCCAGCAAAATAGCCGTGTACAGTCAGCGACTAGGATGTCAAATGTACAATTTCATAAGCTATCCTGTAGGTGGGGTCAAACGCGGATTTTGGAAACCTAGTGGGTATGTTTTCACTTCATTTGCTACATGCATTTTCTCTCCGGAAGAAGTTTTTTTTTCTACAAATATCTGCAGTTGCACGATTTCATGTTGCCCCTGACGCTCCCCTTTGAAAGCTGCTTAGCGTGAAATTCGTAATACCAGCTCTGAGATGAAGCTATCTCAATTTTTTGTGATTTTATCGCATTCTAAGTTGCAGCTAAAAGAACAGGGGGAACGGCACAACTAAAGCTCGTATTGTTTTCAATAATCTGCCGAATACTTTTGCAGCGAGTCCTACGATCCTCCCCCTGTTGACTTGCCAGATGTTCAGCTGCAAAATCACTTGTGGGAAACGTATATCAATGGGCAGATCTCATCATGGATAGATTGCGATTCGGAAGACGAGCGGTTAGCTGTTCTTTCTGAAATTGAGCTGGTGAAGGTGAGGTTTTGATAGGGTGTCTTTTCTGGATCCAACTTTTGATTTTTTCGAAAATTTTCTACTAAAGGAGCTGAATTATCTGGCATACATGGGACTGAGAAGCACAGTCATCCGTTTGAAGCATGCGGACTCCCCACGTCTGGCCCGGATATTGAATCAGTGGCTGTGGACCAAAAATGTAAACCTTTGGTCAGTGTGGCTACAAATGTTTTCTATTTTTCAATCACTTGTCCTCTTTTATTTCTCATAAAAGCTTTTGTAGCATTTGGGTCATGGTACCCACATCCATGGATAATCTTGAACATACGCCAAATGATACTCGCGATTGCTGGACCGTTTGGGCAGACTTCCGCAAACTATGTTCCAATTTTTCAAGCCAGAAGCTCATAGGTGATTATCATGTGCTAGCGGTTAACCATTACCTATATTTGTTTATAGCTGGACTACACATAACACCTGATATTGATGAGGAATTTGTCGATCAGAAGCTCATCTCACGTTGGAAAGCTGAGCCTGTAAGCTAGTTTATCTCAGAAGAGTAATGTGAGTAAACGCCTTCTTTTTCAGCTGGCCACCTTCTGCATAGATGTCGATGCTTTTGTTGCTGGTGATTTACCACAAACGCTTCGACTCCCACCGTAGGTCAACCTTCAGTACGCTGTTTTTGAAATCTACGGCAAGGCGCGTTTTACAGGGCTCATGCTAATCTACTAGCGGAATTGTGGATGTCAGACAATGGAAGACTAATGGTGCGAGGTCCTGAGGAAGCTTTGACGCTGCCAAGTGTCCAGTATCAGTGTGCGCAAGTCAGTGATTTCTTTTTTTTACCTTCTATTTTCACATTTTTTATTGATCGATATCTGCACTTGTTAGATACAAGTAATCTGTTAAATACAATGCGAACACTACAGTGCAAACTTGATGCTTGCGCTAGAATCCATTGAAGGCTAAATATGACTCTAGGTTGCTAAAGACGCAGTTTCACGTATTTAGAATTGGAGTATACTTCGTTGAAAGTGAATGAAATAAGTAGGATTTTAAAGTCTAAATAAAATATTGACCTTTGAGATCTATTGCATGAGCTTGTATAGTATGGCGTCGTTGATCATATAGCTCTTATTTCAGGCTCTACGTGCTATTGTGCGAAATGCAAATCGAACTCCTGCAGGCCTCACTTCTTCCGGATTTCTTGTTGACGCTAACATCAATTATGTCGATGTTCTGCAGGTCTGGCTTTAGCTTTTTGTGGATAAGGTATACCGCAAGCATCACTAGTGTTTAGGTACCCCTGCAGCCTCTCGCTGACAACCTGGACTCAAGTGTGTACAACACTTTTGAGCAAGATCCGATCAAATATAGGCGATATCGCGAAGCCGTTGAAAGCGCTATTCGAGATTATGGCGAGTCGTCTTCGCGACCGGAAGAGCTTGTGCTGTACGTACTTGGTGCTGGACGAGGGCCATTGGTAAAGCCAATTTTTGTTTTTTTACATGTGCAGTTAACACTATATTTGCTTTTGGGTAACATGTTCGTTGGAAGCTGAACGGAACTATAATGAGCGCTTCCGATGTAAGAGGGATAGACTCCGATTGAAAGTGTTTGTCGTAGAGAAGAATCCGAACGCCATCGTAACGCTGCGGTATATGAATTCAAAAGTGTACGTTTTTTATGTTGAAATAATCTTTAATTTTCATAGTCGGTTATGTCTTATTTTTTCACTTGTTCTTCAGCTTTATACTGAATGTTATTTTTTCAGGTGGCGCAATCGCTGCGTCATCATTGAATCGGACATGAGAAATGTTCCCAGCATAGCTAGAGAGAATGACTACCCACAGCCTGACATTATAGTCTCTGAACTTTTGGGGTCGTTTGGCGATAACGAACTTAGTCCAGAATGCCTGGATGGAGTAACAGACTTGCTAAAACCTACAACTATCAGTATACCTCAGAATTATACCAGTTACATAGGTCAGTCGTTGTCCAGACTCAACAGTTTCAATCTATCTTGTAAATGGACATTTACAGCTCCTATAATGTCCTTGCATATGCACCAGCAGATCCGTTTATGCAGTGCAAGTTATTGGAACCGCGGCCTACCCGGTCATGGCCGTAATGGACCTACCCTGCAACCCGATGGTAGCTATCGGCAGTTGTATCCGTGAGTCAATTTTCCAGTATGATTGCCAGAAAATGCTGCCTAGAAACTGTGCATATAGCTTGTTCTTTATCTGACCAGTTCGTTCCACTTGTTGTTTTGTGAAGTTTATATTATAATCAAATGTGCATGCCTTTCGCTTTCAAATGGAAGAAAACTACTGCCGACTTTATCTGAGAACATTTATCCTGATCTCTAGGTCCTATTTTCATCCAATTTAGTAGACTGACATTCCTTTTCCAGACAAGGAGAATATTCTGCTAACATGGATCAGATCTATGTTGCTTACCTGCGACAGTACTGCTTACTCGCTGAACCCAAGCCGGTTTTCACCTTCGTCCATCCGAACTTCTCGAAGACCATGAATGAGCGAAATGCTAGCATCGAGTTCCTCATAGATCGTCCTTCTGATGTAAGTATTGTTTACCTCCCAACTGCGGTTTTTTGTTCAAAAAAGAGAATTTTTGATCATTTTCCGTCAAAGATTTCAAAGATTTCGGAAGAAGAAGTTTGTTTAGTTTCAGATGCAAAGACAAATAGCCAGGGCATTGTTATAAAGTATTATTGCAGTTAATGGGCTTTTCGGGCTACTTCCACATGAATCTCTACAAGGACATAACATTATCGATAGTACCATCGACGTATTCGACAGGAATGATCAGTTGGTTTCCAGCTGTTATTCCTTTGAGGGATCTCGTTCGTGTGCAGCCGGGTGATCAAGTGAGTTATGATGATTCTGCTTGACCCATAATGCTAACATACTTTTTCTTTTTTTATCGATTTTTTCACCATTTTTTTTTTGATTTTTATATGATTGCTTGCAAGTTGGGGTATAATGCGCATACCAAGTCAAGAGTGCAGAATTGAGGGTTTACTATTAGAGACCGGCCATCGATTCCTGTAACTCCGCGATTTCTGTGATTCCTGCGGGTCCCGCAACTATGTACCCTATTTTCAGTTGTATAAGCCGCACCCTTTTTGCTCTAGACGCGAGCAGACCCAGGCGTGCCGCCGCCCATATGTCTCGCGAAGCGGTCGCCTTATCGCATACTGCTCTCACTTAACGCGCTCCATGACGACAGTCAGTCTTTTGGCGTGTTCGCCTTTAGAGCGAAAAGGGTGCGGCTTATACACCTGAAAATAGGGTATATTACGAAAAAACAAGGTATACTGGAATTCGCAAAGCGCTCCGTAGTGCGGTACATCGGAAGTCGAGGAATCACAGGAATTGCAGGAAATACAGGAGTCGCAGGAGCCACCTTCTGGAATAGTATGGCCGGTCCCTTATCAAGGTCTCAGCGCCGTTGTGTTATAAAAGATACGCAAAAAATGTATCTCCTCATCATTTATTCATCGCGTTATGCAGTAGGGACAATTCAGACCCGAGAGCATAAGATCTCGAACATGCCTAAAAATGTGTACTCAGATAGAATGCGTTTGCACCTCCTATTCAGCTTGCGTTCCAGGAACGTGACAGATACGCTAATGAAAACAACGTTATCAAAAAGGTTAGAAAAAGTGGATTTTTTTTGCGCTGGGATGAGCATGATCGATAACCAGACAAATGTGATCAAAAAGGAAATAACTCGCAAAAATACTGTTTTTAAGCTATCTCAAGCATGATATAATTCAGGTTGCGCTGAACATCGAACGAAAAGTTGATGACGGTGGAGTATGGTACGAGTGGTTCTTACATGTGACGGTAAGTCTTACTTCCATTTTTTCTGTTATGCTATCAGATTTTACCAAAGTACTTGGAGTTTTCTCATTTTCGTATCTAACGTTTGTTTTTGCAATTTAGGATGTTAACGGTGAGCATCGTGCAACGCCTCTTCAAAACAGAAACGGAGAGAGTTACTACATGAGACTGCAATAGCACTCGCTACCTGAGCTCAGTGGCTGTCAATACTTCAGCTGCACTTACAGTTTATTGTATCATATTGTTGTAATAATTTTATCACTTTTACAATGCGAGTTTGCCTTTCAATGTTGTTGATTCTTTGTTACTGTTTGTTACCTTTGTAATGTACAAGAGTGGAGGTCTTTATATTAGGGGGCACTTCCAAATGAAGATTCTGCAAGACTCTCAATGTGCTCAGTCAATGTAATATCATCCAGTATCTGAAGCCTTAATAACAAAGAATACCAATTATACCCTAAACCTTCAGATGCTAGGTCAAAAATCGTTGTGTCGGAACCTAAATATTGAGCCTCTGTGTGCTTTCCTTCAATCGAGAAATTTGGGAAGAAGAGTTCCCAATCAAGGAAAGCCGCCAATATTACCACCCTCACGCAAGGTAGTAGTGTAGTTCATCTTTATCCAGATTAGTCGTTAGGGAAATTTGGTGTGAGCTGCTTGAATAACATTCACATGGTTCAAGGTCCTTTACCATGTCGTCCACGTCCCGTGGCAGTCTCCAGAAGATGTGAAAGAACTGCTATGGAGGCGACATGTTTACAATAACGCTGTCATTTCATTGAAAGAGGTGAGCCGCGCGGGAATAATTTGTTAGGAGAAAAAATTTAAAAAGCTCCAGGTTTTCCGGCAAGAGATTCGACAAGCTGAAGCAGCAGGAAAGGGTATAGAAGCGATGAAAGAGGAAGAAGACGCTGAGTTTAATCGTCTGATTGCTGAGAATGATCGAATCAATAAGGAAAAGGTGCAGTAGTTGACAGAAGGATTCTCTTCCAAGGTATAGGACAACATCAATTTGTAGGCGGAAGCCCGCGCTATCCGCGAAGAAACTGAGTGGAAAAACACTCAACGTGAAATTTTGAATGAAATAGAAGAAGCCTTGGAGAAGCGGCAGAAGATAGCAAAGGAAGCTACTGAAGAGGTACCTATACATATTCTCTTTCAATTTTCCAAATTCACTGGAACGAGTACATGCTAATTAAGATTTATACGCGTTTAGGTCCGTGCTGCTATCGCTCGCAGTCGAGATTTTGTTGACAAAACGAATCTGGAGGCCAAAATCATTGAAGCCCTTGAGAATCCCAAAGTTTACGACTTTGCTATCGATCGGCAAGGCAACAAAGTCGGTTTCATTTGGATTTTGCTTTTATTTTAGCTCATCACTCTACGTAACTGTTCAGTATTACGATCCCAAACCTGTGAAGTATCAAGAAGGAGTCCCTACGCGACAAAAAGGACGACTTTTTGACAAAACCCTTGGAATTCCACAGAATTCTGATGAAGAGGAGCAAAAGCACGAAGGAACAAAAGCCGCTGGCATTTGAGTTGCAATTTTGTACCGATGCCAGGTTTGCCTACCCGCGCGCACATCTTGTAAAGTACACAAGTTATAAGGTTCTTTCACTTGTCTCCGATGCATTTTTCATTTCTCTAGTTCTGCTTAACGCTGGGACGCTACGTTGAATAAATACACAAGCCGAAAGATTAGCTCGTATCAGATTGCTGGGAAATGGTATTACCTTTTTATCTACGAGTATGTGCATAGCAGTGGCGCGATCGGGATCAGAGAGGGAGCTCTCTTTGCGACTGGGTTTTCTGTGTTGTAGAACTGTACAGGTACAGGCGATTCATAGCACGCAAAGACTGTAGACATATCGGAGTCTCCGTGATCGAGCGCTCTTTCGTCCCTCTTAGTACAGGTACAGGCGATTCATAGCACGCAAAGACTGTAGACATATCGGAGTCTCCGTGATCGAGCGCTCTTTCGTCCCTCTTACCGTCTGCTGTCTCTGCCATGTACAAGTTATCTTCGTCGGGCGCAACGGCCCCAGTCTTTGCGTGTCACGAATCGACGATAACTAGTCTTATTTGCGATCAGTTAGAACATATAGATTTTAATCCTTTATGCTCCTTTTGGTTTGCTAATCGTGTCATAGGCTCGCACAGCTAAAACTTGCTCGGAGGGCGTGGCTAACGCTACGTCCCTTCCTTTGGGAAAAAATTCCCGTACCTCCTCCCCTCCCTCTGTCTGTGAGACTTCAGTTACGACCAAAATTTTGGCCGCCGCACATCATACAAGACTTTGGACGGTTATGTACCTAGGTTAAAAATGGTGATTCGCACTACCTTCCACCTATCTCAACTAGGATGGAGAGGAACAGCTGCATAATACCCAAACTGCGAAATTAATGAACATCCTGAAATGACAAAGAGTCGCTCTGGAAATGAATATAATCAGGTTAGAAATTGATTCGGATAGCTGAAGAAGGAGGGGGAGGTAGGGGGGGGGGGGGAGTTCGAAATCATCAGCTCATAGTGACGTCCGATTTGCTACTACTATTAAAGGTGTAAGATTCAAGAATTTCGAAGCCTCCAAAAAATTTTTTTGTGGAAGGCGTAGTGAGAGCCAAGTCTCCCAATTTTTGATCTAATGTACCTCTCCCTTCCTGTCTCTAGCACCGCCACTGGTTCTTAGCTTTATAGCTAATATACATTATATTGTACTCCTCTATCTCTTTGACCGCATGTACAGAGAAATTATAGTCAGTTGCAATTGATTCTATCATGATGAGACATTTTGGTACAACTTCGACTGCTTCATCTCAATCATTGTATGTATTTGAACAGTTGTCCCCACTCGCTCAATTGTTATTGGTGTGTTAGAGCTTATGTATGTTCCTTGCTCTACTTCCTTTGAGGATTGTGGTCCGCACCTTAAGTTATCCAAGCTTGAGTGAATTTAGGAGTTTGTATGCATAGGTTAGGGTTTTTATTTCGTTGTGACAGATAGTTTTAGGTTTAGGAATGCTGTTTCGACACTTAGTTGACTTTTGTGCCTATGATTTTATCTCGTGAAAATAGCGGTACTCAATACATCTTACAACGATGTTTTTTAGACTTTTATTCTGATTGAATATTCATTTGTATTGTTTTCAATTTCAATAGTCTTATCTCATAATAAGAGTTTTCTTGATTTGTATGCTTTTGTTGACAAGTGGATGTTGCCAATTTTTTGAACGATGCGTTGAGTGCAGTTTTGCATTCGTCCTTCAGGGTATTCATCGATGCAGTCATATGTAGCAGAAGTGGGTGAAATAATCCGAGCATATAGGAGAGATGAAGAGGAAATTGATGCTTTGCAGGAACGTATCTCTTTGGTTGGTTTTCTCAACTATATTGGCAGGATAGGAGCAGATTGTTCTTTTTTTGCAGGTTTTCCGAGAACTACTAGGACAGAGGCTATGGATGCGATCTTATCCTTATTTACAGACATTAGCGAAAACCACGTATTACTCCTGCACAACGTTAGCAGGTATAGTTGATCATGACCTTTCTTGAAATCTCTTTTCTTTGAGTGCCGAAGAGGTTAATTATCAGCTCATTTTTCAAGAATTGAATTTCAGGTGTGCAAACATTGGGAGAAGAATATGTAAAATTGTTTGGACTTCAATCAGATCGGCGTGTTCCTAATATTGCAGCAAGGTTCGTATTCGTGTTTCTGCACGCCATCGCTCCACTCTTGTCACAGCTAGCTTTACAGGTAGGAGGAATGAAATAATTTGCTCTATCCCAATAAATTTTGCTCTACTCATTGGGAGGCCTCAGCAAAGCCGTAGCCTAAGCCACAGGTAATATGACCCTTTGTGGTCAAAAAATTAGCCTAGTCTTTCTATCGTATACACACACTGATTCGCTTGCAAAGAATACGGTTTGGGTTAGAGCGTAGGGTTGAATTTCACCAGGAATGGCTCATATGAGCTGTCGCTTACTGTCTTAGCTAAAGCTGCCAAATATCCTTCACCTAAAAAATCGAGATAAATAAATCTCTCTGGGTATTGCCTTTGATACTGAGGAACAGCGCCAAGAGCATACATAGATTCGCAACATGTCTTATCAATGGCTTTTTGTTTGTGAATTTGCAATTTTCCGAGACTATTTTTCAGAGAGCAGAACGTCTACTGACTCATCCATCTACTTCACATTTTTTGGGCATTCCGCTAAGGCACAATGAGAAGGCGAGGAGGAGCTTTCTCTCTTTGATTAACTGGTTAAGGTCTGTTTCGGCTTCTATTTCAAGAGGGATTGCCTTGTTCTTTACTGATTTTATTGAATTTCAAGCTGTTTAGGTCCATCGGCGTACCACAACTACACCGCATACATGTAGCTTTCTTCTATATTTTTGGAATCTACTATAATTTGTCTCGAAGAGTGGCAGGAATCAGGTATCAGTCACTGAGTCCGCAAACAGATGTCAAGGTTTGTAAATAGAATTGTCATTAGTAAATTAGCCAGATTCTCCTTTTTAGGCATTGAAAGTCTATAAAGTGCTTGGTTATCTGACAATCGCCCAGACCGCATTGAGCTTGACTTTATGGTTAGCCTCGGTCATGAACGAGAGCGTGAATAAAACCAGAAATAGGAAACCACATGAAACTTCTTTGAAAGAGACGGATCCGACCGAAACGGATGATGATGTTCGAGTTTTTGTTAATGCGTTGCATTTTGCCGTCAACTCATTAAGTCAATTTAGTTCCCTCATGCATGGTTTCGATGCTCTGTCTGTCTGGAACAGCGATCGCCATCGAGCACATCTTGTGGCCATCTTTTCTGTTGGAAATGTATTCAGGTGAACAGAAGTTCTATAAAATTTCCCACAAGGGTCTTTTACAAGATCACGCTCTGAATAGTGCTGATAGCTAAATATTTTCTTGAAAAAGTTTTTTCGACTTTCTGTGAAATCAAGAAAAAATGGAAACTTGTGCAACTTAACAGCTTGTACAGTAGTTTCCAAACTTTTCTAGCAAGAAGCTAACTAACTCTAACTTTTCTAACTTTTCTCGAAAAAATAGAACCAGTTATCGACTCTTGCTCTTGGAACCTTCAAAATTTTGTTTTTAGGAACACGCATTATCAGCAGATGATCAAGCTCGTTGTCCTCATTGTCGGGCTCCCATAGAAGCATCGCAAGTGGTACCACTGCTAAATTTATGATCTTTCTGGATCGCTTACTAATCATATTCCATATCATGGCAATTTGGTTTTCGAGTCAGAAATTAGCGGATGAGAATCTGATTACCAGAATAATAGAAACTCCAAGGCAAATTTGTAATCGTCATGAGTTTACCTTTGGCTCTTCAATAGTTTTTGACGTATATAGTGTTTTGAAGCTTTGTAGAAAAGCAAAGAAGTTTTCTCTTAGCTCTTGCCTGTTCCACTTTTTTATCAATCTTCACTTTTTTCAGTTGTGCACGAAATAAACGATACAGTGTACTTTTGCTGAAAACTTGCTCGTGATATAATGCAATATATTATAGCTTTACTTGTAAGTAATGATAGAATTATTTTCATAGATTTACCAATAGCGACGTGATACCTGAATTACTTCAAAGTTATAAATGTCGTCGTTGTACATCTTCATTCTCTCAAATGCGCCAATAAACTACATAGAATTCCAGTGTGAGTGTTGTGAATTCAATAACAGTGTTCTGCTATATATTTTCTTCAGTCGTCTTTCACTAATCTTATGTGAGTAAATCGTTGTATGGAACTTTCCCTCAGACTGTGTATGGCAAGTATTTAGTGGCTGTTCAGTGTTCAAGTTCGACTCAGAGAAAATGTTTGTCTATTCATTTGCTTCAGTCTCTAATTTCAACTTTTCTTTAGAGTACTTTTTGAGAATGTTTTCTAATGTCTTCATTACCTTCCTATTGAAATTTTATCTCGTGAAAAATCTAGTCTTCGTTTTCTTCATGCTCAGTCATCCTCATTAAGTTTGTCTGGTTATTTCTGAAGAATTACCCATGATATCTGTAAATCTTTTCGGTTGAAATTTCTCCAATTTTCTCTCATCTCAGCAAAAACCGTGGACTTTATTATTTACTTGTTTTCGATGAAACAGCTTAGATGGTCTTCTGAAGAAAAAACTGAAGCTGGGATGTTCAGATTACGGTTTCAAAAAGATCTCTGAGAGGCAACGAAGAACTATATTTAAAACAAATTTCTCTATAACACTGCATCGGCATCATATTGGTAATTCTGTTCTATACTTGCATGGGTGCCGTCGATATCGATATTGAAGACATCCTTAATTCCTTGGGTTATTTTTGCTATAGTTCCATTTCCTCAGAGCAACACAACATAAACTGACCCTCATCCGGTCTAGATAGAATAGAAAATTTTGACAAAATCGGAGAGGATTTTTTCAAGAAGCTACGAACTGAGATAACCCTGGCATCTTCCAAACTCTAGGTCTCTTCGGTTTTATTTTGCCAAGTTTCCTTTCCAGTAATTGGAATGGCATTGTTTGAACTCTGGCGGTACTATGTTTAACCATTTTGCAAATTTGCTGCTAAGATTTTGTTGTTTGATCTCGGTATGTTTTGGTGGGCCCAGAAATAGCAGGTTGATGCGAAAGTTTGCGTAATTTGAAAAAAAATCAGTATTTTTTCAAATCCTAGACCTAAACTCATGATCTAGTATCACAAAAATACCGCAAGGCTTCCGCTTCATGGCAGATATTCAAGCGTGACGTTCTGAGTTGGCCCCGAAAAATAGCTATTCAAAAGCGATTTCGAGCTTGGTGCTGGAAAATGCGGAAGGCCGCTAGCTTGCCCAAACGGTATAAAAATTTCCTACACGGCGAAAGTCCATAGACTGATTTGGGATGTTTCGACTTCGTATGAAAATGCAAAATCAAAGAATTCATGGAAAATGTCATTTCACAAAAAAATTCCCTTATCGCCGCAGTTTTTCTACACAGTTTGGACCAGAAATTACACCTAGTGCCTGTACAGAACACTATGAAGCTTTTTGGAGCAATGTTTTCGTGGAAAAAATGCGCCGAAGAGGGGATCTTTCCTGTTAAATAACATTTTTCATGAATTTTTTATTATCTCATTTCCATACGAGATTGAACTGATCTATGAACTTTCACTGTGTAAGAAATTTTTACAAATTCTGTGGGCAAGCCAGTGGCCCTCTTCGAGTTTCTAGCACCAAACTCAAAATTGCAATTTTGGATTAACATTTTTGGAAGCTTCGTTTCTGGTGGCCATCTCATAAAATGCGCGCTTGAACATCTGTTGTGAAGCCGAAGCCGCGTTATTTTTAGGACATTGGACCATGAGTTTAGGTTTAGTATTCAAAAAGTTATTGATTTTTATTGTTATTGTCGTTTGTTTGAACTATGCCAGACTTTTGCATCAACCTAAAAGTATGAGCTATAGCTCGGCTTGCGGTCAAGCAAATTTTCCGTTTGGATAGCTTCCAACTACTGTTAAGAAATATTTACACGGAAAGTTGCGTTCGTGACTTGCTAAGTTTGATGGCTTACGATTTTGGTGGAATTTGAAATGATTACTCAATTACTGCTTTCACAATTTCATCCTGGCTTTGATCCAGCAATTTTTTGCGCTCATCTGCTTCAAAAATGAAGCTTGGGGGCTTTCGAATAAAAATAATTTAGAATACATCTCTTTTGATATACTGCAACAAAATCAGCAAAATCTTGTACTGAAGACCTAAAGACTGCATACCATGCAAGAGAATAGTTGAAGTTAAACAAATGTCCTGAATATCCAGCGCAATAGATCAAAACGAAAGTTCTTGCGTAGTTTTGACGGTATTCGATAACTTTCCTATCCTAAACCTAAATTCACCATTTTGCACTCAAAAAATAGAAGACAGTTTGCGCTCTCTGATAGATGTTCAAGCTCAACTTTATTTATGGCTTGGCTAGCCACCGTGAACGAAGGTCTAGAAATGGCGCTTTAAGTTTTGCGATTTGGATTTGGTGCCGGATGTGAACCAAAAAATAATATGCACATAGGTGTGGTCCATAAACCTAGACGCAGAAAAAATGCTCAAAAAATGTCATTCCATTGAAAAATCTTACCAGAAAAACACGGTTTGACAAAAAATGCAAGTGTTTTGGGCAAGCAGACCTTTTTTGTCTTGAATTATCTTTGTTTGAAGAAACATCAGCGAAAAGGAGATTCCAGAAATGTCATTTTTCACAAATTTTTTGTTTTACATCTTCATGAAGATTGAAGCCCGCCACCGAATATATGAACTACTAATATGTGAAAAGTTTTACAGATTTTTGGGGTGGCTAGCGACCTTCCGCGACTTTTTAGCATCAAACATGGAGCGCAGAATTCAAGACGCCATTTTTGAAACCTTCGTTTTCGGTTAGCCTATATAAAGTAAAGCTTGATCACCTATCGAGCAAACCTTCTACTAATTCTTATTGTTAGAATGAAAACGGTAAATTCATTTTTAGAATTTGAAAAGCTATCGATTCTCATTTGATTTATGCAATTTCAATATTCAAGGCATAAATTTGACAAGAGAATTCCGATATGTCATTTTCACTTTTTTCGATCACTGACATCAGAACTGACGTACTCTTTTTTAGAATTGTTCTCATATTGTTTCATACTACATTCTTATTTTCACATGTGGAAACGCAGTGCGCGCCACTTTTGCGACAAAGTCCGACAACATCCGGAGTTGTACTTCTCAGGCATACAACCAACAGGGGTTCCGCATCTAGGAAACTATTTTGGATTCATAGAACCATGGATACAGCTACAAAAAGTTTGTGAGGGAAGTTTTTCTTCTCAAAGATTTTTTACGATATGCTTTTCAGACACTTCCTTCAACTACAAAGATGATTCTAGCAATTGCAGATCAACATGCGATTTCATTAGGACCGAAACCGCCTAACGAGGTAAGGAAATTTTGGGAGTATTTCTATTAATAATTTCCCAAGATTTCTTTCATTATTTACAAAAATAGAATTTAACGAAAAGGAAAATGAATACTCTGGTCATAAGAAGAATTGTCGGTTGTAGACTTGAAGCAAGACGAAATGGGTTTTTTTTTGTTTGTTCGAGGACATTGACAATATCTTTCACTTTGGGTTTCAAAGCTCGTTTTTCATAAGACTCAATTTTTCTCCTGCTTCTTGCTGCCCAGGTAAAATTGAACAAGGGTCGTAAAACGAACGGATCAATGAAGGAAAAATCTATAGAAAAATTTTTTTGTAAAGGCTACGGTAGCCTCAGGATCTCTTCGTCATTGTTTTCATTTAATCTCATTCTAGTTACGGAGTAATATTCGACGAATGGCTGCTAGTTTGTTGGCTTGTGGAGTGGATCCATCCCGAACGCTGCTCTTTCGGCAAAGTGCTGTACCACAGATTGCTCAACTATCATGGATACTCGGTTCTTTACAGACTATTGCTCAGTTGCAAAGGTTACCTCAATTCAAGGAAAAAGCAGCGAAGTAAGTGAAAGTCATAAAAAGTTGTCTTAGTATTTTTAAATTTCATTAAATTTAGTAACAAGTGGATAGGAAATTAGAGTTGGTGAAATAAGATTTTTGAACGATAATTCAGTAATTTATAATAAAATCGAATATCGTCCTAATTGCAGATTTTCTCGTAATGACGTCCCAGTTGGCCTTCTAACCTATCCTGTGCTACAATCCGCCGATGTTCTTATGTTTAAGGTATAACATTATTGACTACAGTTGTTATCTTTCCATCTACTCGAAGAATCTAGGCAACTCATGTCCCTGTGGGAGCTGACCAAGCTCAACATATGAATCTCTTAGCCGATCTCGCCGATCACTTCAATTCTCATTATCAAGCAGCATATTTTCCCAGACCTCAGCAGGTAACGTTCGTGTCGAAGCTTCATACTACTGGGGTTAAGTCGAAGATTTAAGGTCATACGAAAATTCTCATCACGTATCCGAAGTTTACGGGATCCGCTGAAGAAAATGAGCAAATCGGAGGCAAGCGCGAGGTCAAGGTTAGAGGTGAGATGTTTTGAATAATCTGTGTCTCAATGGTTAAGAAAGTTATCAGAGTCTTCAACGCCTATTTTTCCTCTATCTCTTTTTTTCCTCTTTCCCTTTGAGTCAAGTATCGCAAAATTACGTTGCAGTATGTACAATCCTAAGCAGCAAAATCTTTTAGGAAGTTAAACCTCTACCGAATCACCAGCATACGAAACTGTACATAAAAAAAATTGTTTACGATATGATTTTCCTAAAACTCATTAATTTACAAGCAGCACCAGTATAGAGCTATGCAAACATCGGTCCAAAAAACTTACCTCGCTGCAATGCAACGCGCATTTATAAGTGATGGAAGTTCTAGAGAGATGGGAAACAAGAAATAATATTTCTATCAATCTCCGCTTGTATGTGAAAATAAATTTTTCAATGAAAATTGTAAATAAAAGAGCTCTCCTCCCCTTGAAGGCAGTGTCCAGACTAATTGAGTATTTTACGTGGAAACTAATCAGTGGCATTAACAAAGTCATTGCTCGAGCACAAGCTGAATTTATTCTTTGCCAAGAAATTCACCTCGGGGTCTGGGTCGAGATCGTACTTTCTTACCCAGTGCAGATAAGTAGTAAGTTTGAGAAATCTAAAAGCAGTGTCCAGGAATCTCCGAGACATTGCTTTCAAGATTCTTGAAGTTCTTTAGTAATTTGGATTTTTCACATTTAGTGTGATTATAATGCTCAAGATTCTCAAAAACAGAGGGAAATGTTTTGTTCGGGGCATAATTAAAAAGACAGCACTTGTAAGCATTCAGAAGACCCATTTGAATCTTACCATCCAAAATTTTCAACAATAAGTTTTCTCAGAGCTAGCCTTTGAAGACTAGTTTCTAGATCAGCGATTCGGCAGAGGAAATAGAAGAAAAATGTCGAAAGGCAGTAAGCGACTTCGAATCTCGGCTCACTTACGATCCTGAGCAACGACCAGCTATTTCTAATCTGGTATGTAGTCGAAGCCTTAAAGCCTTATTATTTCTACCAGAAAAAGAATTTACTTGACTGCAGATCGATCTCTTCTGCGCAGTTACTGGAAAGGACACCGCATATGTCTTGCAACAAAGTTGGGACCAATTCAAACTCAAAAAAGCGCTTTCTCAAGCAGTTATGGAGCGATTCCTACCCATACGCGAAAAGCTTCTCCGATTAGAGCAAGGAAACGAGGTGAGTCTTTCTAGATGTTGAATTCTCCCATTTTCTATAATTTTCCAGGTGGATGAGATACTATCTGAAAATGGCAAAGTGGCTCGGTCTATCGCTGAGCAAAATATGCAGGAAATCCAAAGGATAGTCGGATTCTCTTGACGAGTGCTGCATCTTGCATAGGTTTTACAACTAGAATGATTACTTGATTATCATCAGTTTTCGAACTTTTTGAAATTTTTCATTGTTGAAATCCTATTGTTATGCATAGGAATGTTCAAAGATTGACATAAAACACTATATGCTCTACTTTTGGCAGAAAAAAAAATTTCGTGGTCTAGACTAGGGCGAATTTTGCTCAATTCAAAATTCAATTTTTTTCGGTTCGACAAAAGATCAAAACTCTAAGTAAGACCATATCACGGTGCATTAAAGCACCTTCTTAACACATTCACTGCAATAATAAAACTAAAATCAAATGAAAATAAATAGATGTAATCAATTACGGTGCATTAGCTAAATAAATAGTATAAATAACAAATAAACACCGGGTAATCCAGAATAGATGTAATCAATTACGGTGCATTAGCTAAATAAATAGTATAAATAACAAATAAACACCGGGTAATCCAGTGATCTAAGGCTCCAGCTTAGCAAGCTTACGTGGGGCCAGTGGCGGACCGAGGGGGGAGGGGGAGGGGGGGGGGGGTCGCGAAATTTTTGAAACTTACCTATATGGGTTTAAAATTGTGCAAACGACTTGTTTATTTTTGTAAATAATTAAAATATTTTTTAAAAATTTTCAAAAATTCAAAATTCAAATTAGCCTTGTAAAATAATTTTTTTCGGGGGCGTGGCGTCAGCCTTTCCAGGTTTTAAGGGTTGGGGGCCCGCAAAAATTTTGAGAAGCACCCCAAAAATTTTTTCGGAGTGCGTTACGCCACGCACCTTCATCTGAAAAAAATTTTTGCCGCGCCCTCCCCCCTCCCCCCGGTCCGGAATCCTGCGAGCGCCACTGGTGGGCGCACATATAAAGATACTAGTTTTAGAGTAAGTCGTTATCTTACAGACATAGAATACGGTAGTGTACTGTAAAGGAGGGGTACGAGAAATTAAAATTTTATCATGTCTGCCGCAGCCCTAAGAGACTCCCAGGTTTAAAACAGATTTTTTCGTTTTTTTTCGTAAACAAGGTCTTCCAACCCGTCCAGAATTTCGAACGTAGTTTTGATTTTTGACATTACCGATACCTTATGTTTCATGTCTATATATCTTTTACGATCCACAAAATGCCTCAAAATTTGCTAATTTTCTTTTGCAGTGGTCCCTGTTTTGCAATGACTCACTTTGAGTCCTATGATTTGCGAAAAAAAGGTTCATAATCAAAACGGAATGATCGAGAAAGATTTGATACGGAATGATTAAGAGAGAGATTTGAAACGGAGAGATTAAGAGAGACTGGATGTTGATAATTGTTTAGCTTCTTCTCTTACCCTTATCACGTGGTTCGCATTAGATACAAGCATATCATTATTTTAACAGTTGCATTTAAATAAAAAATTTCACAACCTCAAAAAAATTTTCTTCATGAAGTTAGCGGAGAAACTTTCAACTTATACATGTCACAAGGAAGAATCCAATTTTTGATCTTGATAATCGGAAATATGAGTTTTGGCAAATTACCAAATTCGTTATTGTGAAGCGCGAACTTCCGAATTTCCTTCTAATTACTACTGACGCTCTCAGAAATCCACAAAGTCTGGAGTGATGAGAAAAAATGAGAGAACCTCTAAGAAAGTAGATAAAAATGGCGGTTGGAGTGCCGTCAAAGATTGCTTTTATTGGAAGATGCATGGTTAGCCTTTCATCCCTTAAAACATTGTTTTTTTTCTGTATAGAAGCAGTCAGAACATCTGAATATACAATTCTGCAAAGTCAGCAAGAGCTAATAGATCGTTGCATAAGTTTTGTATCTCCGTCTTCGTCTTATTTTGGAAAAAAATTTAGAAAATTCGGCGAAATCCCATATTTGTAACTTTGCGTCCACAATCTACCACTGCGATTCCGCAGACTTTCTGATAAATTCCCAAAACAGCTCAACCGCTTTTTGTATGACAGGTCGTGACTTTTACTCTCAAAGGACGCTGTCACTACATGTCAGATTATTTTTCAGGCTCATTTTTCAAAGGCGATAATGCCCGATTCGTCAAATTGGCAATTTTACCAAGATATCCTCCCAGCAAATAGTACCGACCGGTCATACTTCACGCGATTTCAGTTGCGACGCAATTTGGCAGTAATCCAACTGTTTATAAATTATTGTAAGCGCAAAAATGTGAGAGAATATGGCACTATATCAGTCTGCAAAAATTATACAGAGTATGCGTTTGCAGTCTGTAAGTGAAGACTTCTGGCAAATTGCCAGATCGCGTCGGGACTGCACTCGCGTGAAGTATATCCAAAGAGGCTTTCTACGAGCTCTTCATTGACTTATGCAATTAAATCTGACTAAGATGAACTGAAAATCAAAACCCACTCATAGTGTTGTGCTGAACACATATCCACAGATACTGTGCAAAAGCAACGGTATTTTGACTTTCTTTAGATTTTAGAGATGTATATAACTCGCTTCTAGCTATCATTCAGTCTATCATAACAGTCAAACTTTGAGGTTTTCGATCGAAATTACATATTTATTCACTTAAATTACAAAGCAGTCGAAAGTTATTGAAAGAAGTTTGACCTTCTATCTAAAAGCAATTTCATCCTAGAAAAAAAAAAGAACACATCGAAGCGTGAGACTAGTCTAAGGAGCTTGAACATCGATCACATGCACAAGGCACAGAAAACCGTAATAGTATTGAAGTAGTGGAATCATAAGAGGGCAAGTTATGACTTTAATTATATACATGTAGATGATTGCCTAACTTTGGTGCATTGGGCGAAAGGGATGGGGGATTGGCAGACAAAGTGGGAATTTCTGTGAAAATGCGGGTACTATTCTACAAAACAGTGAGGGTGATAGAGACCAAAATCAATTGATGGCAAGAAAAAGAAAGGTGCATAACACTTATTACAAAAAACTCGAATTTTGTAATGGGTATAGGAATGTGCAGACCTATGAACTATTCAGGTACGGAGTTATAGAGCAGAATAGCACACACAACTACAGCCGTGCCAAACACGAAGTAAGCTCCTATGAACACGTCATTGAAAACGAGGTAGGAAGTGATGACAACAAGAATGATGGATACTGCAGATGCAAAGCTTTTGTGCAGGTTGTCGAGGTATTTCATCACCAGAGAAATGTACGTGCCACCAAATGACAGGAATGCTGAAAAAGATTTAATTATATCCGTTCTAAGATTTGAACAATTCACAGTTTTTTCTATTTTGGCCAGGCTGTTTGATCAAGAAAAAAAGAGGCTGCTCGAAACAACCAAATATGTAAAGACACACAAAAAGAAAATAAAGAAAACTTTTGACTGTCACGAATATTCAACCCTTTTCAGTTTGACTTCCCCTGTGCATTCTCTCTTATAATTCAATCCTATTAACAAGTGTTGCAGTGCCCATTCACAGACAAATGAATAAGAAATGATTTCGGAGATAAACTATAAAAGATGAAAAATCACATTCATCAATATGCACATATATTCAAATCGGAATGGAGAGAAGAGATGGGAAGGAGCTTTATATTCGGTGACACACAAATCCTTCCCATGCCTGTTCACCTTTAAGTCTTTACTACATCTGTGTGAGTATATTGACAAAAACGTACCAGCTAATGTGTTCATGACCCCCTGAATCTTCAGATAACGATCGTTCCCTTTACAAATCATTCATAATTTCATGAACGCAATGAAAAGCTGTAAAGATAAGATGAGGATCCGATACGACCGCGAGCAAATGACATCGAAAGTTGATTCATTCCGAAATTGAATTTGTTTTTACAAAAATTCAGTCGACACTGTAAGATCAAAATTTCAATACTTGTTTAAGACATTTTCGTAAAGTAATTTGTCTTCGACAACACCGAGATATAGACTTTCCCACTCCCCCTCCTCCTTCCGACTAACAGGGGAAGGATACCAACATTAGTCGGCGACTGAAGATGAGATGTATATCGGTAGACGCGCTTTTGAACGCTGATTCCATTCTGCTTTCCTTTTTTGCGGAATAGGTTTCCGAAAGAAGTTGTGGGCGTTCAAATGTCCAAATTTGTCAAGGTTTAGGTGGTCTAAAATTGGCGAAAAGCTGTACAAAAACAACGGAAAGTGGAAAATCATTTTTGTATCGGGTATACTGTTCGCAAGGAAAAACAAAGCCGGTGAAAATCGCATAGGTGTTGTTTTAGAGCTTTTCGCTGATTTTAAGCCACTCAATGTTTGGCAAATCTGGACATTAAAACGCTCATAACTTCTTTCGGAAGCTTATTCCGCAAAAAAGGAAAGCAGATTTAGAATCAGCGTTCAAAGGCGCATCGAATGATTTACATCTCATCTTCAGTTGCCAACTAATGTTGGTATAGTTTCCTTGTAAGATACACATATGTGCATATGAGACAGAACCCTTTGCAAGTGAATCTACAAGCAACCAATACAAAACTTTGCAAGACAACAGTGGACACTTCCGGAGAAAAAAGAAAACTTGAAGACTACAAAATTTCTGACAACGTACCAACGATAGCACAGACTTTCACATCGTAACCATAGAAGAATCCTCGTTCGGCAATGACGTCTGCTTCGGTGAATAAGCAACCAATTGATGCGCTAACCTCAAATGAAACAAGTGAAAAAGTTCTCCAAAATTACGATTAAAGATATTGTGACTTTCACGCCAAGATCCTCTATTAATCCTTTCAAACGTATCTCCAAGCCCGACCGTGGAAATGAGTGCATCTAGTGCTACTGACATAGCCTTGTAAAACAAACTACTTTAGGACAAGAATACAGGTCATAAAGAAAGTTGACTGGAAAGCAATTGTCTAATTTCACTTATGGAAGCTTTGAACGGTCGATTAATCGGTCTGCACTCCCAGATAAAAATAGCCGATTACACAATAGCTCAAATGCATGCTGACTATATCGATTGTACATTCCCATAGTCACATTATTCGTTCAAAATGGCGTGATACAACATCTTAGCATTCTTCCTACATTCGAATCACTTCATTCAATCTACCGTGAAACTTTTTCCGATAATCTCAGAACAATTCTTCTGAACCTCAGCAATAACATTATTTAGAATTTCACTACTCGATTGTGTTAGCGGCTTAATTGTAAGATGGTCTGATCACCAAGACTCACTATGCCACAGCTATACATCTGCAGATTTCGGATCCAAAATGGAGTGTTGCCTGACCCTTTGAGCATCATTTCAAAGTAGACTCCTCAAACATGACGTATCAATCATTTCTCACTTTTGAATAAGATAAGTTACCTGCGAATCCTGCAGTCACACAAGTGGCAAGCACGGCACTTATGCCCACAAGATAATTTCCTTTTGTTTCGCTAGCTCCGCGCTGGGTGTTGTTCAGCTAAAATGGACATACAATCAAAAAAGACCTTGAGAATTTTGGAGTGCGCTTAGAATCATTAGTATGTGTACCTGTACAGCGGCTACACCGAAAAAGAGTAGCACTATGGCGACCCATCTCGTCCCAGAAAAGCGTCGACCAAGAAACAGCATCATGAATATAGCTGTGGTGAAAACCTTCAGCTGAGTTGTTACCTGAACATAACAACTTCAAATATAGGCGATTCGAAAAACCGTGACGATGGCGCGACCGCGCGCAACCTGCACGCACTCCTAATTCTTGGTTTCTATCTCTACTCAAATAGTTTTTCTGCTTACATATGATAGTATTCAGGCAATGGGAGTGACTGAGCTTAGCACTGAAGCGTTGCCTGTTTGTATGGGTGTTTTCTCCTTCTGTGTGCGAAAAGACCGCAGCCAACCCGTCGTCACGATTTTAAAAATGAACCATAAGGGACTTACAACTTTAAACTAAAATCTCAAAGGTCTGCAAACCAATCTTCAAACATACCTGATACAGACCCGCATCCAGGTTAGATAAAGCAACAAAATCTAGATTGTTTTGGAATGCGTAAGCAAGCGAAGGGACGCTCATCTTCAAGAGTTCCTTGGGAGCATTTATATAGTGTTGCTGGATGCACTAAACAATAGACTCGATAAAAAAAATCTCAAAGCTGATAATTTTAACGATAAGCAAAGCCTAAAGAACTTTGAAGCTTCAGGACCTTTTTTAGCATAATAGCTACTCAAATATTCTTAAAATCAATACGAGCCTAAAAACTTCAATTTAGCACATATAGAAGCTCTGAACAATGATACAATGAGAATGCGACAGTCTACTGGACTACTGCTTCAGGCTCCAGTTTCGAAGTTATACGCACCAAAATGTTCCGTTGCAAAGGTTACACACTTATGCATGCGTAGTACCTCGCTCGAGCTTTGCAGGGTGAACAATGAAAGGATGTCATTCCAAAATGTTAGAAGATTTGTTAGGATTCATTGGAAACTTTTGAAAGCAGAAGATTTTCTTCTTATAGACTAGCAATAATGTGTCAAAACGACATACAAATTATCAATTAAAGATGAAAACGAAAACAACAAACCGAGAAGAGATCTTTCATTCTGAAATGGCTTTCTTTGTAAAGCATCAAGAGCGTGATACATGATTTGACCACTTCACCCATAAGTACAACGGTAGTTGCAGCGTAAAGCTGCAATAAAATCCTCTCAAATGACAAGAGCGTAATAACAAACACTCAATTAAAGGCACCGTCCACCCTAAGTTGAGAGTGTTGAGCTTTTGGCAGCATATAACAGTAGGACCCCCTATCAAGCCAATGCCCAAGTCGCAATATGCCGCTTCGGAAGCGAGAAAATCGCTCCGGAATAGCGAAGATGCGCGAGGACCCCTATCCATGCCCTCCCCTCCCCATCCATACCCGCCCATTTGTGCGCGTTCATCCAATCACCGTTCCGGAAAGCCGGCCTGTGGATCCTCCGGAATGGGGATTGTCGAGGTTTTCGCGGGTTCTCGACTTCATATTTGGAATCAGGGACATGCGAAGGCCCCGAAACGATAAAAACCTGGAAGTCGAGAATCTGGGTGGACGGTGCCTTTAAGTTTCCAACTACTTCATATCTAACCTCGTTTTTGGGCACAGTAGTTCTTGTGTACCGCACCGTGATAGTGTAGCCTGTCCATAGAAAGGTCATCGTCACAATAACATACGCCTTGAACAGCATATCGCGGCGACCATCTTCTGTAAATGAAGCAAAAATCTAGGAGAGGCTCTCTCATCACTATATTGATACAGCCGTTGTTAAAACCTCATTGATTTCGCAAAATTTTGTTAAAACATTGAATACGTTGGAAAAGGATACGAAAAAAGCTAAACCGTGTTAGCGCGATAACTGCAGAAACAGGAAGTCGGAGAAAAGAAGACAAAGCTCTAAAACGCTGTACAATAGCACTATGCAGCAATGTCGAGGTAGCGTGGGTTGTTTTTACTGAAATCATCATGCATTGTTCCGTTATCATTGCTGCGAAATGCCACAGTGCCTGCCATTGCCATCAATATCTCCGCTAATTTAAAAGCTAGCTATTTCGATCCATTTATAAAGCAAGTTTATGAATTTGCTCTGAATGACTGACTTACAACGCAGTACTGGTACTCAGCGATTTACCGTATAACGGTGGGGCTTTAATGTACGTAAACGCATCACGTGAGCTGTTTGAATAAGAATAAATATGAGAATGAATGCGTTTTGAGTCTTAGATAGGCACCACAAGTATCCGCCCACATCAACCACTTCGCTGATTGGTCAGGAAATTGACCAGTAAGCGAAGCAGATGAAGCGGCTATGCCGCAAAGCGCATAAGTCTGGGACCTGCCTTAAACAAACCCGAAATCGGCGCGCCATGTCAGATCGCATATGGTGCGTTCATGGTCCCAAGCAAAACAAGATTACCCTCTATCCCATTTAGAGTGAGCCCGACTTGAGCGGCTCGAATCTTGCGCGACCGCCTCGCCTGAGCTCTGCACTTATTTCGCGAACGTGCTCTCTGACAAGCAAGCAGAAAGCTCGCCTTCCCCAGGTTCACGCGAAGGAAGATGATCAGAGAGACGTTCGCTAAAGAACTGCGGAGCTCAAGCGGACGAGCGCGCGAGGTCTGAGACGCTTGGGTCGAGCTCAATTCAAATGAACAAAGAGTAGCACGCTCAATTTTTCATAATAATAGTCAATAAACCTAAAGATGAGATTTTGCCTGAGTAGGACACAAAAGATTGGTCTAACACCCAAGTTCTGTACTCAGTAATAATTGGAGTCGGTAATTGCTAAACTTGCAATGCTTGCTGCAGCCAATCTTAAGTGAAATATCAAGATGATAAAGAAAAAATTACTGAAAAAACGAAGAAAATGCAAATAAAGTTGTGCATACCTTTGACTGTGGTGATATCTGATATTTTGACGGGAAGGAGGGTCTCCTTTGCGTCATCTTTATCAACGCCCATATGAGCCGGCGTTGGGCTAAAAACCTATAAGCTGTCACTCAGTATGGATGAAACATTAAATAGATAGTAGGGAAGAGCATGTAGGAAATCGAAATGATACGTCTAAACGTAGATTGTGGACGCTTTGAAACCAGTTTCGCTTCTTCTGCTCCATAAATATGAATGTCTTGCATTTACATATATGTATGAATTCAAGTTTTCAGTATACGCTCTTGCAAAGTTTACTCGCGGAGCTGAAATCTTAGAAATGATTGAAGTGATCAACAGCTGTTCTGTATGTATGATCCAGAATACGAAAACTGGGCAAATAAAAAACCACAAAATATCAAGGAAGCACACAAAGTTGAAAAAGTTCAAGGTTGAAACCATAAGTAGTTTAAACCCTGAACTTTTCCTTCAAATGATATAACGCACGAAAATGGCGCATGCTATAAGACTGCAGACAAAGCGACCCAATTAGGTATTCAAAACTAAGCGTTAACATAGTCAAGGTCATTAAAGCGAGCAAAACAGCCTTTTGCAGAAAAACTTGAAGTTTCCGCCAAGCATGCTTGCGGATTACGGCGGTATTGTTTTTCCGTGACTGCAGACGGCCTCAAACTTGACGAGCATCTCATATTCTTTTACAGCGGAAAAGAAAAAATCAAAGTATTCCTTTGAAAAAACGGCTCTTTCTTGGAATCTGTGTGCGTATGAGGACTTATATGAGGAAGGAAGTAACAAAGTTAAAGCTGAATTGAGTAATCTAATATATAGAAGGTCGTTAGCTCGATTCAAATCTCGCAATGGCGGGAGACGCGGCGGGTCCCAAAGCGAACGCTCTTCCATATAGCACCTTTAGGTTACTGGTTCACTAGTTAATTTAAATAGTAGGTTAAACCAAGAAATCAATCAATCAAATATTAGTTAAATCAATCACAATTCTTGGACAAATCTATCCAGAGACCTCAAGAGGTGGGGAAGGGCAATCGACGCCTGTTTACAGGCAGTTGTAACCAGATATATTCAGATGTATCAAGTTTGGTGGCTTACGCAGCTTAAATCTATAAGCTATTAGTCCAAGATGGCGAAAGGATTTCGCAGCTAGTCTGAGGGCAATCGGCTTTTTTAGTTGTAAGCAGGCGCATAATCTGGTTCGCGACGTCCACTTATGTGTTTCAGAACATACCCTCTAATTCAAATGGATTGGCGGCTGGAAGGGGGGGACTTGTGACCTATTTAGGGCTAGAGAATGGTCAGAGAGCACGCGCAAGAGAGTGACGCAGATTGCGTCGCAGGCGCGAGTGGTCTTAGGTCACGAAGCCCCGCCTTCCGGCCGCCAATCCAGTTGAATCCAAGGTTACCTATCACGAAAACCTTCTGCCTCAACAAACGGGAAATTTTTGGTACTAATGTCATTTGAATTGGCAGTCTAGTTTATTCAATGTGAAATAAGGGTTCATGCTGTGAAATAGTTTCGAAACTTTGATAGATTTCCAGTTTATATCGAACAGAACATCATGTAAAAAGCCAAAAAATTTCTCATTTTGTCTTGCAACATAAGATTCAAATTCTGTAGTAGATGTATATGATGGATGATACGATTGACTCTTGTAAATCTTTTCATAAAAAATTATCAGTAGAATTACTTTATTTGGGCGCTTTATCTTACTTCCAGCTGTCCACGATTCTATTTCGATTCTTCCAAAAGATCTTTCAAAAAAGTAGGGAGTGAGCAACAAGAATTCTTGGGGAGAGTGATGCGTCTTAATGTTTGGGCTCAAAAAATGTGGAGTACGGCCTCGTTTCGATTGCGACATGCCCAAGAAGAAATTCGACATTAGAATGAAAAGAAAAAACACACTGAACAATGGAAAAGAACAAAAAAAAAAGTGCAATTCTGGAAAATTTTCGAAAGCTAAGCCCATAGAGAAGATTTTCTGGTAAATTCTAAAGACGCAAAGACTGAACGCCGTTGCGTTCAAGCAAGACAGTTTATGTTTGGGAGAGACAGCAGCCAGATAGAGAAGAGAAAGTGCGTGTGAATATGAGAAACGCCGACAGCGTTCGTGTTTTCGTCATGTCTGTGCGTGCGATGAACCTATAGCTGCCATAGAGCTGCACATTCAGCGTGCGATTACGGTAATGGTTCCTTTTTTTTTAAATTGCTTTCTCCAGATGAACAAACTCTTTTTCGCTTCTAAAATACCCCTTGATTCAACTAGCCGGGCGACTGGAAGGCGGGGCTTCGTGACCCAATAAAGGCTAGGTACTGATCAGAGAGCAGGCGCGCGAGAGAGACGCAGATTGCGTCGCGGATATTAGCGGCCTTAATTGGGTCACAAAACCCCACCTTCCAACCGCCAAGCCAGTTGAATCAAAGATTATGCATTATGAGATGCACTTCGAAAAAGCTAACTGCAGAAAATGCAATTTCGTCGCTGTCACGTCTGTCACGCTGATGACGGAATAGCCAATGTACATAGAATTCGTTTAAGTGCTTAGCTTTTGAGTTGAATTACTTTCGAAAAATTAGATTATATTTTTATTTAATTTTATTTTATTTTATGCATACACTCGTGGTGCACCATTAAAAAATCGAAATCGAACAGAAAATCAGGTAACACAGAATTAAGACAAAGAACCAGCCAATCCTATTTATGTGTGCGATAAGGCAAAATTCAAGGCTACACTGGAACGATAAGCTCTCTCCAAGCAGGATTTGAACTGTCAAATTTAGAAAAATTATGCCAAAGGTTTTTACGAGTATCTGGTGGTTGTGTGAATGAAGTCAAAGTTGTGGACATCGAGCGATGCTGCGAAAATAAACAATTCCGAAGTGTTTTGCCATATTGATTTTTATTACCAAAGAAAATCAAATTGCTTTTTTCTCTTTTATCTGCCTCTATGGAGGTAAAAGTGAATGTAAGAAATTCTGAAAAAATAAAGATTAGCAGTTTTTCGAAAGTGACCGTCGTTGCAGTGTCGTTAAGATGAGTCAGAGTGATGCCATTCGCCGTGGCATGCTCAACATTTTATGTCATTTGTCTCGGGTCTCCGAGCCATTCCAGCCATGGGAAGTAAAAAAATGCAAGACTAAAAATTACACATAATACCTCCAGTGCAATAATTTAGCTAGTATAATGGATTTTGATCACAAATGTATCAGAAGCAAATATTTTTTGATATAATAAATGGAAAAAATTCTTCCAGTGCCCCTAATTGTTTTTACAATATATTGTATTTAAATCAAATTTTTTCTACAATTCCATCATTTGATTCAAAAGCTCACCAATTATAAAACAAATACAAAAAATAATAGCAACAAATGCCCTATTTATCAAATTTTCGAAAGTACGTATGAAGAAAAATTTTTCACAAAGAAATCGACGTCAGAAGGGCACTGATACCTTATTTCCAGTACTTTATTCCTAGTTTTTATTATTTCTTATCGAATTATTAGTTTTTACATCTTTCAAATTTCGTATGACCCTCAAGCCAAAGGTTTCCTTACGCGAAAGTATTCGACACCCATATCAATCAAGCTCAATAATTCACCTGATTTATTCAAAATGTGCTATATGAGTCTATACTATGATTACCGCATCTTATGGACCTCCAAATCAGGATCGAATCAAATCCCATAGTGAGTTAAGTTTGCAGCATAGAATTCGGAAATATTAAATTTTCAGTAAATTCGAAATAGCAAAATAATTAAAAATCCGAATTACTTAAATAAATAAAGTACACAGCTACAGCTTCTTCGATGATATCAGATTACGAAAATTCAAATTATCATTTATGAGAGGTAGTCAAACTGACAATATTATATGCGGAGTCACTAGCTTGAAAAAATGCGACCGCGTTAAATGGCGACGTCCATACAAAGAAGTATCATAAATATTTTTGAGGTGAATGTGTTCTGCCAACATTCGACATCTGGCGCCAGCATTGCTAGGCGAATAAATAATGGATAAACAAAAAAGTGTTCGTATAGTGCACTTGACAACTGCTTGCTCGAAAGCTCCAACCAAAAGTTTGGAGTCCAAGTTATTTAGAGCTTTGGCAATGCACTCCCCTTGTTAACATTGCATTTTCTTTGAATGATGGAGCCAGCGAAGGATAAATTCTAATTGTAAGAATTTCCTTATTTTTCATTGCAAGTTTAATGCTGGCCGAAAGCATAAAGATAACTTGACATAGCGAATTTTGGCAAACTCCCCATAAGTTCCTAGGAGTCTGCATACTAAACCGAATACTTAGAACCGATTACTTTTCGAATATTCGTATTCGAATGATTTATTCAAAATAAAGGTCGAATATTCAGAAAGGTGCATTTATATGATTCGAGTAGTCGAATCAATGAAAAAGAACTTCGTTCGAATATTTGTTTATTCAACGGAGGGGGAGGGGGAGGGGAGGAGCAACAGAGCTTTCTCAAATAAGCCCTAATGAACTTTGGGCTTCCGATTTTTTTGCAAGCTGAAAATCCTGAACTTTGAATCAAGGAAAAAGGTTTCATTAAGCCTAAAAACTCAAAAAATCTGTAGAATTTTTCCATTTCTTACTAAATGTTACTTGTATATTTTTGTGAAGCAAAACATCTTCAAGCCCCCTCCCCTCCCCCCCACCCCGTCGTTCTTCAACATTGCTAATACAGTAAAAGTGTTTTGGCATACGCAGTGTGGCTAAAAGCCCCAATTTGCAATCGTAGTATAATCGTCCTCCCCCCACTAGACACTTACAAGGGAAGTTCACTTAGTCGAAGTGGCGATTCGGAAAAAGATCTATACCAATGGATAGAGCTTAAAACACTAATCTCAGATATACCTTCTATATCTGCGACGCATTGTTCTGAAAAAAGTTATGAACTTTTCTAAAGCCAAATTTTCGTGCATTTTGAGTCGCAAAATCAAGATAATCTCTACACAAAAGTGTGCAAGCTTAAGCAAACCACCTAGTAAGCATTGTAGGGCTAATTTGAGTTCATCCGAACGCTTTCGAATGTCTTGACCATGTTGTTCATCCATAGGTCGTCATTTCATTCCTAGATCACACTTCCATTATGCGTACAAAAAAGCCCATAACCTCTATCTAGAAAAACGCGTCGCGTCGAAACTTTTTGGAAACCACCAATGTATAGAACGTAAAACGATGTACTCAAATATATCTTCAATATTTGCGACGCGTTCTTCTAGTTGGAGGTTATGGGTTTTTTTGTATATACTATAATGGAAGTGTGAAGGAAATGACGACCTGTGGAT